ATTCTTGTCCTTGTCCAATTAGGATTTTGTGTACTTGTCCTTGTCGAATTATGATTTTATATATCTTTCACCAATTGGATAAGGAATTCGTCTACATTCTCTATAAATAGATGGAAGTCTTAAGACTTTATTCGTACTTCGATTTATGCAATTTGTTGGAGTGAAGTTGTAATCTCATCGCTTTTATTGTGATCGTGTGTTGGTGGCGGTTTATTCTTATTCCGGTAGACCGTAACAATAAGTGGTCGACCGTGTTGCTAAGGTATGTCTCGTATGTGCTTGTTAATGGTTGTATGTGGTTAAATTTTTCCTAATTAGGTCGACCACCTCCACCATCCGGTCGATCGTATTTGTGTAATTATATGATTAGGTCAAACTTACAGTAAATTCTGGCCGACCTCTTCTTTGTTATTTTAAAATAAGGTCGACCTTACAGTAAATTCAGGTCGACATCATCTTTGTTATTTATTAATAAGGTCGACCGTACAGTTTATTCAGGTCGACCTGACGAGAGCTAATTTTGTATGTTTTTTACATTAAATTCGTATTCGGATCGTTGCAGGATGGATAACAAAGATGATAGAGATGATGACGAGGTTAACTTCGATGAGGAACCTAAGGATGCTCGAGAAGGATCTATGGATAATTCAGATGATACAAATAATACGGATGATGAAGTGGTTGGGGATGATAAGGAAACCGAGGCTGCTGAAGAAGAATTTATGGATGATGAAGAAGCTATTGAATATGAACAACAAATTCCTTCCATGGAGTTCCAAACATTAGAAGATGCAGAGAAATTTTACGATTCCTATGCTAAAGCGAAAGGATTTAGCGTTCGACATAGAGATCTTCGGAGGAGTCGTCGAGGAGTAGCAATTGGGAGGACAATGGTATGTTCGAGAGAGGGGACTAGAGAGAAGATGCATATAGATAAAGAAGGTCGGACTCGACAACATCATAAGATGACAAGACATTCTTGCAAGGCATCGTATACTGTACGCTTTGATCGGAATAAGAAAATGTGGGTTGTTTCTAAGTTTGAGAGGAAGCACTCATATCGTTGCTGCAATGAAGAAGAAACTCAATTCCTTCGGGCTCATCGAAATGTGAGTGAAGGAGACAAGACTCTGGCGATAGGGATGCGACAGTTAGGAATAAAACAACGCAACATTGTTCAGTTCATGAAGAATAAAGTTGGAGGATATGAGAATCTGGGGTACACTCCAAAGGATTTGGATAATGCTATTCAGAAATCCCGAACAGTTGACGACGATCTAATAGGAGATGTTAACCGAACATTGGGTTACTTGCAAAGTAAACATACCTCTGATGCGGGCAGCTTCTTCAAGTACACAACCAACGATGAAGGTGAATTAGACAATCTCTTCTGGTCGGACTCCACATCTAGAGCAGATTACCATTTTTTTGGGGATGTCTTGGCGTTCGATGCATGCTACAAGCGCAACAAGTACAATCGACCATTTGTTATGATGGTTGGTGTAAATCACCACCACCGTAACATCATATATGGTTTTGCAGGGCCTTAAGAACGGGACATGCAGGGCCTTATGGATGTAAGAGAGTTTAGGTTTTAGGGTCTTCTTTGTTATATTGTTGTTGTTTGCTTGCCGGTGGCCGGCATAGGGTTGCAAAGGAGAACTCGGTGAAGGCAGCAGACGTTTGTGTCTTCGAGTGCATTCCAAGGTGGCCTAATGTCCTGCACTGCACTCCTGCTGAAAGTCACATCTGGCTTACAATCGATTTAAATTTTTCGAGGTCGACCTATGCTTCAATTGAGGTCGACCTATTGTTTTTTGTACTCCAATTGTTACGGGTTTGAGTCGACCCATTCTCGTTTTAAATTAACTGAGGTCGACCACTTTATGGAGTGGTCGACCGTGTTTTGTTCATTTCAAAAATGTGACTAACGTGTATTCTTGCTTGTTTGATCGCAGGATGTTTGGCAACAAAAAGAAAAGAAAGTCACAAAAAGCTGTTGCCTCAAGTTCGGAATGGGAAGAGTTCAATCCCAATCTGTTCCAGACCAAGGAGCAAAGTGACAACTATGAAGAGAAGAGAATGCACAACCGCAGGGTGGCTCCTGAAAGGCCATTGACGTCGGATGCGTATTCTCATTTCGAGAATTACGGGTTTCTAGGACCCTTTGTCGAGCAAGAGTGGCTGAAGGTGATATCTCTGAATGTACAATACTACCCAAAAATGGTACAGTAGTTCTACAACAACATCAACTATCAGCATAATTCAAATGGATCCATTCATGCATTTAAAAGCTATGTGAATGGGGTGGAGATGCGCATCAGCAAGAATGTGTTGGCGCAAGTACTAGAGGCTCCAAACGAGGGGAAGAGAATCAATTCTTACACTGCTTGGAATGAAACTCATTTCTCGAGAGCCAAGCAAATCCAGACGGTATGTGGTCTTGATGAAGAGGAAGATGCTCAGGGTCGCAGTAGGCCAACGAGTAACCACCTGACAGTTCAAGCCAGAGTTCTTCACCACATGCTCTCCTACAACATTCTGCCAAAGGGTGGACATCGGGAGACAGTCACCTACTTCGACATGGAGCTCCTCACTAACCTACCGTTAGACGAGAAGGTGAACTTGTCATACTTTATCTTTAACCACATGCTTACTGCTGCAGAGAGTTCAAACAGGAATCTTCCCTACGGGATGATCCTCACTTTGCTATTTGAGCATTTTAATGTGAATTTAAGTGGTGAGGTGGGGTTAAAAATCTCAAGGCATGAGTTCTATACAGTTTCATCTCTGAAAAAGATGGGCTTTGAGCTGCGTAATGGTGAGTATGTCCGAATCAATGCTCATGGTGCCCATGTGGTGGTGATGATGATGATGATGAGGATGATGATGGTGATGAAGGAGCCGGAGACAAGCCAATGCCGCAGGCACATAGTTCAACTCCACCAATCACCTTAGAGCGTGTGTGGGAGCGCATGGATGGCATGTACGAGTACATGGGCCAGATGTCCACCCAGATGACTGGCATGTACGACTACATGGGGAAAATGACCGCCCAGATGAGCACAATGCAGGTGACCGTGAATGAGATGCGAGATGAGTGACGATCTTTCAGCGGAAGATATATGCATCCCACCACATCCGACCACTATCATGCTAGCACCACCAATGAAGAAAATGTGGATGAGGGAGAGAGGGGGACATGAGTAGGAACTCGAAGATTTTAGATTGTGTGTCTTTATTGTTAAGTGGTCAAAACGATTATTGATTGTTATTTTGTTGTTTTAGTTTTTTTTTTTTTTTGTGTGAACAATTATGATTTCTGTTTTATTGAATTTCTTGTTAGTTTGTTTAGTTGTTATGCTATACATTGATGAGTCCTTGTTATCATTATTTATTACTATTTATGATGGTTTGAAACATTATTTATACGAGCAAAAGAACCACACTAATCGACATACATAAGCAAAAAAGACATGTGGCATAGGTTGACTTTCTTGTATTCGGTCGACCTCGTACCGGATTAGGTCGACCTCGAAACCAACACTTGATCTTCATTTTACGTCAAATTATTGGACAGATTGATAGAACACTTATCTTCTATCTGGTCGACCGCTTTCCTTATATGGTCGAGCATTTTGTTAATGACTGCCATCAAGTGGTCGACCTATGTACCTTTTCGGTCGACCATGTTGTTTCTGACGCCAACGAAATGGCCGACCGAGGTTTTATTCTGGTCGACCAAAAATAACAACTTAAACTAGGTGCGGTCGACCAGGTGGTCGTTGAGGTCGACCGCAATGATTTCTCGTGCTGCCCAAATGAGTCAATTCGGTCGACCGCCTTCAGGATTAGGTCGACCGAAAAGTCCATGTCACGGTGACATGCATGTCATAGTAGGCATACCCAAAGATTTTCCCTCTCCTAATGTTCAAATCATCTAACATAAATAATTGGGTAATGTCTATTTTTTCCAATTTTTTTTATATTATCCGAACCTATAGAAATACTAAGAATTAGCCAAATATTAACATTCAGTTAGCAATTTTGTTAGTAATATTGACTTGGCAACATGATATTAACTTGAAAGAGACATATAAAGGTCAATATTCCAAAAAATTATTATTTTAACAAAGAAAAGACTTATAAAATTATTAACGATAACGTAAAAATGACTAATATTTTGATAAATTACGAAAGATTTAGCTAATTAATAGCATTTTAATAGGTTTGAATAATATAAATGATCATGAAAAAGGTTTGAATAAAAAATAGACATTAGCCTTAATAATTTTGTAACTCCTTTCTTAGTTAAAATACTTAAATTTTAAAATGTTAACCTTCATTTGTCTCTTCCCAGTATCATGTTGTCGTGTCAATATTACTAACAAAATTACTATCTGTAAGTTAACATTTGGCTAATATTTAATATTTCAATATCGTTTGCCTAATAAAAAAAATACAAAAAATATTTGCTAATAAATAGTCATAAACCTAACTATTTTTTCACTAGTATTCAAACTCCGTTACCTTGATAAATTTTAACTAAACATTTTCTTCACAGTCGCATACACAATTAACTCGACAGGACTTATCTCTTTCTTTCTATATTTCCAGCGAAAAGAAATATTAAATTGACAGGTCACCAACCGAAGAACACATGGAAAAAACAAAACGAAAACAAAAAGAAATGCCAAGTCGGATAAGGCACCCACGTGATAGATACGAAATCGACGGGCAAGCTTACCCGCCGACACAATCGGACGGCTCGGCTCCCGTCAGTCCCAAAAAGACACTTATCGAGAAACAACGGCAGAGAATCCGCCACGTCCCCAGCTCCATCCCCGACAACAATCCACATTACCTATTTTAAACCGCCCCCCAACACCCGCAATTTTTTTCCCCCATCACTCATCATCACCCACTTCAGTTTCCGCCACTTCCTTCAAAAACTCAACACTCAGGCCTGGTCCTGGTTCTGGTTCGGTTGTTGGGCGGTCATGGGCGACTCGGACAACGACTCGGGCGGGCACCCGAGCGCGGGCGGCGGCGGGGAGATGGCGTCGCCGAGGGAGCAAGACAGGTTCCTGCCGATCGCGAACGTAAGCAGGATCATGAAGAGGGCGCTTCCTGCCAATGCCAAGATCTCGAAGGATGCGAAGGAGACGGTGCAGGAGTGCGTGTCGGAGTTCATCAGCTTCATCACCGGGGAGGCCTCCGACAAGTGCCAGCGGGAGCGCCGGAAGACCATCAACGGCGACGATCTGCTGTGGGCCATGACTACGCTCGGCTTCGAGGACTACGTGGAGCCATTGAAGGGCTACCTCCAGCGATTCAGGGAGCTGGAGGGAGAGAAGGCGGCCGTTGTCACGGGGCGTGAGAGGGACGCGCCCGGCGAGGCGGCGGGGGAAGGTAACTACGCCTTGGGTGGGTTTCAAGGATATGGGCCCGGGCCCGGGCCCGGCGGAAGTGGCGGTGGTGGTGGGGGTGGGTTTTATAATAATAATAATAATAATAGTGGGGTGGCGATAATGGGTCATAGTGGCGGTCCTGTGTATACTGGGCCTGGAGTCGGTTTGGGTAGGCCCAGATAGATAAATTATGTGGACCATGACCCGGTTAAGCCCAAATGATGTTGTGATTCCCAATCAACGGGGCGTTTGGCGGGAACAGAATCTTGATCAACCAGCAGGAAGGAAGACGTTGGTGGAGGGAGACACGTGTAACGATCTAGTTTCTTTCTGGATGAAAACGGGGTGCGTGATATCACTGATGGAGTGATTGTTCCTTCGTATACTTGGACGTTCCCTCCCTCCCTGCACCTTATATTTTTGTGTGGGTGGAGTTTACCTTTGTAATTTTAATATTATGTACATGTATTGGTTTTTTATAATATGAACATGTACTATAACATTCCAAATATTTTCCCGAACAAGATATTTTGCTTTGGGTTTCGATGCTCACAGTCACAGTTTTGCTTTGAGGTAAATTTAAGATGACTTCACATAAGTTAATCTATCATTGTTATACTCCACGGTGAGCACATTTAAATTTCGCTTTCTCACAAGAATTTTTCTATTTCACCCCAAAACACGTATTATCAGTTAATTGCAGTTTCATACTAATAAATTATAAATCTCTCACATGCTTTGTCGATGTGAAATTTGACTAAGGTGTCATATATTGCCTGTGTGTTTGGAAATAAACCCTCTATATATAGTCTATACCTTTTGCAATAATACAGAGTGACTTTTAGGAACGACAACGGAGTAAAGCGTGACGTGTATCACTTTTAGGAACGACAACGGAGTAAAGCGTGACGTGTATTGCCAAACCCAGTTCCACATTCCTACTTGCTGCTTCATAACTCATAACTGGATCGCTAGCTAGTCTTGATCTTATTTCGCACTTGACTAATGATTTCTTGCTTGAACTTTTTTCGGTTATGGAATGAAAGTTTTTATGTCAAAAGAAAATAAGAGGAATGGGCCTGAAGAAGGCCATGGCCCATCAGCCTCGAGAGGAAGAGATGAGGATAGAAGGTCCATACACATTTTGGCCACACATTTAATATCCCAAATAGTGGGCCTAGTGGGCCTTAAATGAGACAACGTTGTGCTGTCTTGTCATGAGCGAAACGTCATCTCTCACCGGCGTTCGAAAAATTGCTTCATTTGCTACGGCCAAGTCGGGAATAAATCACAAAACATGGTCACATAGATAGATTTGGATTCGTAACAAAATAGTTGGAAGCTTTATGTCATTTCATGCGCTTCCATTCAACATATCCAATCAGCTTGCAAACTCACCAAAAAATTAATTGAAAATGTTTTATGTAGCCTAATTGAGATTAGTAGCTCATATTCGTAGTAAATCACAGTTGTAATGACTCTTTCAAGATTAGCCAATTTCAAATATGCAGAGCAGATACTGTGCTATGATTACGTCGAATTCGTTGTCTTGCAACTGTAAAATAACGTTTGTACCTATAAAAATAATGACTACAACAGTAATTGTACTACTACAACTCATGATTATCAAGGTGGTAATACTTATTATGTTTAGCAAGCTAATCGATTCCCAACCATGCGACAATAGCTATAAGGCCGGATAGAGTTCTTGTTAGAAACTCTTGGTTTTCAGCTTATTCCAAGAGTGTAGTTAGACTGCTTCTGGCAGACTGAACTCTCTCCCAAAAAAATTTAGATGCCCGACAGGGTGAATTGCAAGGATTTGTCTTGTTTGGAGTTAATAGGAAATTGAGAGAAGTGAGGGAGAAACTAAAGCATCTTAACATAATTCACTATTCTGATCTAAGATAAAGTGGCACAAGCTGAAGCGGTTGTTTCTCAAGTTGAAACTTTGGAGCACACTTGTCCCTAAAGCTTTCATATCTAATTAGCAAAAACCCGCTCGCTATCGCTTCGCGTATCAGAAAAATAAATATTTTAGAGAGTAATAGTTTTAAATGTTGACTTAAAAGTGAAACTAATCTTACTTGATTTTTAATCATTCTTTATAGTTTATAGGTTTGTTATTTACAATAGCATATGGTCGATGAACTTGCATGAGGTAGAAGGGCCGTCCAATAGATTATTTATGTTTAAACTTCTTTCATGACGCTATTGTTTCCATTTGTATGGCTAGTAGTTGATCCTGCTGTAACTTTTGCATAATGAAGCTGCTTTTCTCTGGATCTTTTCAAGAAGTATTTTAAAAAAATAAAAGTTGAGTGTTTAGGTGAAAAACTATGAGAATTACATTCTAATATAAGAGGTAATGTAAAATGACTAAAAAATATTTCTAACATAAAATATGAATACGAATTCTAAAAATTAAAAAGTATTTAAAATGGATCACGTTAGATTTATTTCATATTAAATTATACTATTTTTTTAAAAAAAATTATAATGATATAAATGAAAGAATATTATGTTTTCTAAAAAAGAATAATATATGGTGACAATTTTGTATTTTACAATCGGAGCTTCTGCTTTTAAGTTACGAAAAACTTCAGCTTTTTAAAAAGCGATAATTTAGAGGTGTTGACTTGGTTTCAACTTTTGAAACATAAAACTTCTAAAATTCGGGCAAAACATAGTCGTACTCTTTTGGTTTTTTTGTTTTGTTTTAGGTAATCGTGGTTCTCCTTTATGAAATTTTTGGACTGATTGTAGGTTTGTCTTTCTCGAACAAAAGGAAAAGAGCGAAATGAAAAGCACAAGAGCTAAAACTCGGTATCCACTCAAAACTCATCAACACCAGGTTCAACTCGATTTGACCTGGTTAAACCGATTTTTGGCCAAATTCACCCCTGACACAACCCACCAATTAAAAAAGCAGATAAAATCCGCTCCTGCCAAAAACCTATAAAAATGGGTTCAAGTCGCTTTGATCGAGTCGAATTAGGTTGGATACTCATGAGTTAGACCCAAAAACGGGTTCAATTGTCATTCTCAACCAAAAGGAAAAATATAAAAAATACTCAAATGGATAAAACTCGCTCACGACCCCAAACTCTCAACACTGCATTCAACTCGATTTGACCAGGTCGACCTAGTTTTATCAAATTCACAATTTACCCAACTTGTCAATTACAAAAGCAGATAAAACTCGCTCTCAATACGAAACGCATCAACAATGGGTCAGAGTTCAATTGTCATTCTCAACAAAAAGGAACATGAAAAATAAAAAATATTAAAGCGTACAACTCGCTTTCGATCTAAAACTGGTCAACAACGTGTTCAACTGCCTTTGACCAATTTGTTAACAAATTAACACTTGGTCGAACTTGGCAACTACAAAAGTGGATAAAGCTCGCTCACAATACAACACTCGTCAATACCTTAGATTCGGGTTTTATTGTCTTTCCAACCAAAAGAAAAAAATGAGAAATTTATAAATACTAAAGTCTGTTTCAAGTCGCTTTGACCGGATCGAAATAGGTTGAACACCCATGAATTTGAGTTCAATTGTGATCATGCTAAAAAAAAGGAAAAAGTGAAAGAAGAAACCACTAAAGCATACTAAACTTGGTCCCGATACAAAACTCGCCAATATTGAGTAGATCTGGTATGGATTTTTGGTAGCGACATTGGGAAACGGTGGAGGGGGACAACTTAGAATCCCGTTGACGGTGTTTTGAGAAGGTTGTGAATTGGTGAGCGATGTTGAGGATTGGACAGAGCATATCTAGTATGGATCTTTGGTCACAGCCATGACAAACGGTGGAAGAGGAGAACTCAGGATTTCACTGACAGTGTTGCGAAATGGTGCGAAAAGGCGATGATTTGGGTTTAAGTTATGATACACATGTGTTTGGGTTCAATTGCGATCTTGATCAACAAAAATAAAAAACACTAAATAGGATGAAACTCGGTCCCGATATAAAACCCGTGGTAGCGCACTTGGGAAACGATGTTGGGGAACAACTTGGATTCCACCGACAGTATTTCGAGATGACCTGCGAAATGGTGAGCGAAGGCGATGATTTGGGTTCAAGTTAGAATACCCATGTCACGATGTGTTTGTGATCAACTGTGATCATGCTCAATAAAAAGGAAAATAAAGAGAATGAAACTCAGTCCCCACACAAAACTCGTGGTAGCAACCTTGGGAAATGGTGGTGGGGAACAACTTAGTATTCCGCCGACAATATTTTGAGATGTGCTGCGAAATGGTGGAGTAAGGCGATGATTTGTGCAAAAAGTCATAGACGAAAACCTAGTGGATAGTTGCTACAATAGGGAGTTCATAGGCAATAATTGTTATGAGAAACACAATGGACAATAGATGTAACTCTAGTGAACAATTGCTAAACACAAAGGTTGTAGAATGTACAGTAGGATAAAAGAAGAACTTAGAACTTCCCCACTTGCACTTGGTGGAGTGTGAGGGACACTAATGAATAGTAACTCTAATGTTAGGCTTTTATATATTAATGGGAAATGGTGGTGGGGAACAACTTCCGCCGACAATATTTTGAGATGTGCTGCGAAATGGTGGAGTAAGGCGATGATTTGTGCAAAAAGTCATAGACGAAAACCTAGTGGATAGTTGCTACAATAGGGAGTTCATAGGCAATAATTGTTATGAGAAACACAATGGACAATAGATGTAACTCTAGTGAACAATTGCTAAACACAAAAGTTGTAGAATGTACAGTAGGATAAAAGAAGAACTTAGAACTTCCCCACTTGCACTTGGTGGAGTGTGAGGGACACTAATGAATAGTAACTCTAATGTTAGGCTTTAATATATTAATTAATGGTATATGGTATGACTTATAGAGTTACAACAAGTAAATGTACAGCGAAAATTAAGGGTGGTTTGGTTTTGATAATAGTTTGGTTGGGATAGTTACAATGTATGCAATGTTCACAATGCATCATTTTTTAAAATTTTTTGAACAAACAATACATGCATTGTTTGCTTGATGTGACACAAACTATCACTCAAAATGAGTGATAGTTAAATCTCAAGTTTTGGTTGAGATTGTTGTGTTTTTTTCTTCTTCAAACTATGTCCTTACCTTTTTATTTGTGGTGCTTTTTTATACTAAAAACAAAGGGTAGAAATGACATTTCACCAATAA